CGACTGAAATCGCTGGACAATTGTGGATTAGGTGAATCGATCAATACGTATCTAATCCTGTCAGCACACTATCCTACTCTCCCACTGTCCTTGTCTACTATAATCCTATTGTGCCTCTCCGGACTCGCGAACTATGAACGCGGCTTGAGGCGGTTCGTGCAAACAACTCGAAATTGACACGAGTAATAACTAATCCTGTAAAAGGAGCAGCGGAAAGTGGAGGTTATCTCCAAGCTCATCTTTTTTTCCTCCTTGATGCTGTTATGCCCCTGTGCACTTTCGTAGAGCGCAATCGGTTTCTCTAACGACGTAGCTTTAAGATAGGTAATTTTTTAGACCATAATTTTGAAAGCTTGTAAACTAATAACCATTTTGCTTACAAAGTGTTCAGTTGGGATTCAAGATATGAACTGGAATTGCACAATTTCGAAGAGTGCGGGGACGAAGGCGAGATTTGGTTTGGAAAGAGCGCTGAGAAAAGGTTGTAACTAATTTTAAACCAAGCCAAGTTTCATTCGATGGGAGCTTTTCTTTTCATCCGTAGTTGACATCTTCAGGATCGTCGATTTCGTCACGACGCACATACCCAAAACTGCTCCCATTCTCGACCTCGGATGCGGGAATGGCTCGGTTTTAAGAAGATTGGTAAGTGCGCCGTTCTCATGATTTTGTAAAGGTATCGAGACTAGGCACCTAGAGTGGCTGTTAGAAACTACCAATTCAGGCAACGATCATGGAGGCATCGTATTCAAGCGTTCATGATTACCAAGTCTAAGTTAGTAAGCAAACGAAGTTACGTAGATGGCATATCGTTGTTTTATAAGGACTCTTTACTGCAGCTTCGGTATTGGTTGAAAAAGCTTTTGAAACAGGAAAATTACGGCATTCCTACTGTGGGACACTAACAGAAACTCAAAGATTAGCTCTCGTTGAAGCCTCAGCACCAGACAGTTGAAAACTACCTGAAACCACTGATAAGTGGGCGCAATCGCAAGATAGGGGGGGGGGCATTCTTTGGCATCAAGCCTGAGAGAGGGCAGAAACTTCGGTGAAAATGAAAACTGCTCCCTAGAACTGCTCCCTGAAGTCTTCCCTCCCAGCCTGAGACTTTGTTCCGTTTTCAACAAAAGGATGTTTCACGCTACATGCATTACCTCCACATCCTGCTATAGCGCTCCGATAGTGTTTGTAAGTTTCTCCGCCTGTCCTTAACTATTATCATCACCGTTTTTCTCTTTACGCTTTTCTGCATCTCTAGGGCTCACTTGACTCATATGTGCTCTGACTCTTGTGCATACGGGGAGGAATGAGCGCGTATGGGTCCCTAGCACAAAGAATGACTTTCCAGTTGGGGGTGGCGCGAAACTTGTTTGCAGCACGAACCATAGGTTTGCTTTTGATCATCAGTGGACTTAGGGTTCCCACAGCCAAAAAAAGTACCGCGCTGCGAAAAGCAAAAAAGTCGTTTCCGTCCTAGCGACTCGCACCCGGGGCGGTATTCAATCCTTCCCCCAGGGGATATCCCCCTCCTCTGATTCAATCCTCTGGGGGGACAAAAAAGGGTTGCGTCATAGGACCGCATACCTCTGTGTTTCTACCTGCCAGACAGTTAGAGCAGCGCGACTACCCTCCACTCTTGAAGCACTCTTCTCCCTAAGGGGTCGCCACCCCAATAGCTGTAAATGCATTATGAATGAGTGTCAAATGTTTATATATTTCAGAGGAAACATGGTTACGCCAGTCTCACAGGTGTAGACTATTGCCCTGCTGCCATTGAGTTGGCGAAACGAGTTTCAAATGAGGAGCAGGAAACTTCTGAATGCGCTATCACTTTTGAGGTAACTCACCTGTTTATTTACCATAAAAGTAGAAACATGGGTATGTCAGATAGTTTTGTACAGTATACGCACCTGAAAGCATTTGCGAACTTTTGATTTTAGGTTCTAGACATACTTTCTCCAAGTAGACAGCCTTTTTCTGAACATTATTCGGTTGTACTGGACAAAGGCACATGGGATGCAATGAGCCTTTCGAATGATCGAGGTGATTCGCTTAGTTGTGATTGTACCCTTACTTTCTTTCTACTTATTTCAAGCACTAGCATAATGTCTAGGTGTGACTAGGTTATTTATAGCAGTATGGTCCCGTCATTTTCATTATTGTTATAGAATTTCATTGTACGCTCGAGTACAAGCTATGCATTGTCTCATACTATCCTTCGTTTGGAAAAAGTCATTGCCTGCCATTTCAGAATTGCGACTCGCTGCTTACAAAAGTGCTGTCATTGAAGCTCTCAGCTCTTCAGGGAAAGTTTGTGATATTCTCCTGCAATTTCACTAAGTAAGTATTTTATGCATTTCATGATGCGCCACGAATAATGTTGCAAGTTCTCTTGATTCTGTTAAATCTCATTGATCTCTTGCTTTGAAAAAAATTGTTTATGCAACCAGGCGTGACCGGAATGCTGAGTTCGTGTTCCCTAAACTACAGTGGATTGGCCTACTATCTTAGACTAGGAAACATCTGACCGAGTATTGTCTTCTTTCTGGATCGCAACATTCCCTTGGTACAGGCACAGACGGGAGGTAGCGTTTGTGATTTGGGAGCGGTCGTATTGGACCAGGTTGACCAGGGTTAATCGTCTCCTGCAAAAGAAGTAAACGAGGATTGTGGTTGTGAGATGGGGTCGTTCCAAACGGACTTAGGCAAATGTGAACGAAAACTTCACGGAAGAAGGTAGATAGAAAATTCAAATAATTGTCGTTCCTTGAGACTAGTTTACTCCCCATCCCCTCACCCCACCTTCCGAACGGTTTCGTGGTTGTTTTGAAGGGAAAAATGTGAGGAGTTGGAGTGTGTCGAGTGGCCATCAAATGCTATTGGTACACCTATAGTAGAAAGTCGTATAGGCGGCTCCCCGAACAATAGCGTGAAATCTTGAAAAAGAACCAAGGCCAGGGTTGATCCTTGTCCTGACTATTCGTTCACTCTTCTTCAGTGCCGCTCATGATGCTCGTATCCAGAGCACACTTTGCACTGAAAGCCTGCTTATTTTTATGACCAAGTGGCAGGGCTATACCCAAAAGCTGGAAAGCGTGTAACGGTTTTTTCAGAGAGGAATTATGCAAATTCTTCGCCGATGGTGTTTCTCTTATCTTCCATAGCGAGATCCCTGCTGCTCATACGATCAGCTTCGGTGGTCGTCAAGGAGTCACGTCGACAGGTGTGGTTTTTGAGAAGAACTGACCTACACAGCGGAAGTTGTGGTCATATAAAGAAAGTAATAAAGTTTGTATTGTTATTGTAGAGATGGCGTTCAATTAATAAACGACGAATTAAACTTTTATTTGAAGTATTACTTCATTACGACGATTTATTCGAACGTACTGAAGACTTGTTGACAAATTTGATTTCCATTTGTTTTGACGAAACAGAGCGACAACTGTGGCGAGCAAGTGTGGCCAGTACTACCATTCCCAACGTATATAGGTTTTATATAAATAAGGGCAGGTTATAACAGGAAATACACAGCGCATCAGTACTGCTGCATTACATGCCTGTGGTATTACTAACCAAAATGCTGTTTTCTAAACTAAAGGCAACTTCAACTAAAGGCAAGTGTCAGACTTTGCGACCAACTGCTGCGAATCGCTTGATTCGCTAAGAGCAACCGCTCGTGCCCCTTGTAGTAGCGAGTCCGCGCGATCGCTGCGCGGCGATGGTCGCGAACTCTAAACACCTGCCTGGACTAGGACTCACAAACTCGACCAATATCATCCGATCGGATAGGCAGCGTGCTCATTCTTTCGAGAAACATTCGCTCGTCACATAGATGTACCATATAAATCATAGAGTATGATAGCGCAGCGATTAATATCAGTGATAAGACTTTCCTGTAGGAAAAAACATCAACAGTACAATGCTGAGGGCAAACTGGCTGCAGCGCACCTCGGATCCAATGTGAGGTCGTTCCCATTTGCTGAGAGGTTTGATTGTTCGACCACTTCGAGCGTACTTCTCTTGACAGATCTCGCATTGATCCTTGTTCGACATCGCCACCCAACGGGACAGGCACACCCTCGTGAATGTCTCCCATCTAAACTGAAACAGTAGCTGCTGAAGGCAGGTGTATACGACACAGATGTAAGAGAGAGAGAAAATGTCTACTGTTAAAGGGAGGAGGGTGGCCTAGGTTCAGGGAAGCCAGCGCACCTGGATGCATTTTAAGGGCGAATGGCCCGCCTGTATTGAACCAGTAGGGCCTAGCCCATGTTCTGGAGCAGCTTTGCCTCTAGGTGACTGAATAATTAGCAGAAGAGCACAAGGACGCCGTAATTGCTTGTTCATCATTCGTTCGGTCCTTTTCGTTTCTAGCTGACCGGGAACTGTATTCGCGGATTCCTGGAAGGGGATCAGCTGAACTAATTGTGGTGGGATGCGTTTGACAGTGGTGTAATTGGGTACATGCACTGCCTCGACAGCGTAGAGTGCCGGTTCGATCCCCGGCCTGTGCGCGAATGTCCTTGCCCACCTATACTTATGGTTAGCATCACGTGTGATAATTACAGACCTTAGATCTTACTAGCCCCGGGTTGGACCGCAATCGGATATCTCTCTCTTTTCTGTAGAAAATGGTCTTTGGCGGGGTGGGGACATCCAATCGTGGAGTGAGGCCAATTACTGTGGCTGGACGGCAAGCTCTAAGTAAAGGTAAGGATCCTCCTCGGCAGCACCTGAGAGCATTTGAGCAATTTGTGTTCTCCCTGGTTTCTCCCCTTTACTGGGCTTACTCCTAGTCTCACCTACCATCGGCCCTGTTTTGAATGTCCTCCCCCCCCCACTCCAAAGGACATGAGCACCGAAGATGTTTTCAAAACTACTCTAATAGTTACCGTTCCCGCACATCCACACGGTCGTACCATCTCACCGCTCTCTGACTGGCAGATGCGACATGCCCTTCGTTCTACGGACGAAGACTGGTCAGAGTCTGATGGGCATCTGAACCGAGATTTCAACGATATCTACCGTGAAAAAAAAACTATAAAAAACAAAAGAAAAGTGTGAAACTGTTACTGTAATGGGTCGACGCATGGCTGTTGCTAGACCCCTCATCGTCATGATAGATTGATGACATTCTATGTTGCAAGTGGATGCGAACCGGTCATTTCAACATGGCTTCTTTCCGGAAATCTTAAAGGCGCAACCCAAGCAAAAGTCGTGTGGACGATTCCTTCGGTCTACAGAATAGGCCACTAGAGAATAATCACAGATGTGACATTCGTGCAGTAATTACCCGAAAAAAAAAAGCGCTAGGGTCTTGTAAAGTAAGCTGCAGCAGTGGAATTTTTCCCTTTATCAGGCTGTTGTCTGGCGCCCTCTCATCTGCTGCGCTCTCTCGCCTCATACTCTCCTCTCCGCGCTTAGTCTCTCCCCTTAGCACAGCCGATTAGGAAGGTGAGTGAGCCCTTAACCTGAGCGTTTTCGACGGATTCTTTTCCTTTTTTCTTCACTGCCGGCCCATTTCGCACCATACATTCGCATTCGTGTGCAAGAACCACAACAATTCGGTTGAGGGGCAGTCCTCAGTCATTAAGGACTACCTTAAGATGTGTTCGATTTACGATTGAGGCGATTTAGTGTTCAGCGTGGTTACTTCAAGACACATCCCACGCTTTCGTATGGGCGGAGATGGTTGGCGCGTTGTGCCCTTCCATTGGTGCGCTTCCTTTGGCCACGCAAAGGGGTTCATACCAGTGAAAAGGGTGCAGTAGTTCTAGTGACCCTGTTCACACAGTGAGATGAGAAATGATTGGTCACTAATACTATTAGCTTGGAACAGGAGTATTCGTTCTCAGGGATGAATGAGCCAGTCAGTAGCCCTACGTCATTCTTCCTGAAATGGTCGGCCCGCCAGTCCATCCGAAGCCGAATGCTGTTTTTCCCGTAAAACACTAGAATGTTTCTATCACGCAGGAGTAGTGTGTATTCCCACATCTGTACAGTCCATATCTCGAAGTCTGATTGGGCGTGTCACCGGAAATGACGTGGCAGCCACCGCACTTGATAGAAGTTGCGCGGATAAGCTGCTTCCAACACGCTTTGCTGATATCTGGCGGAGTATTTTATCCACACAACATCTATCAAGTGCGGTGGCTGCCACGTCATTTCCGGTGACACGCCCAATCAGACTTCGAGATATCGACTGTATAACTGGTTTGTGATTGTCTGCGTATTTCATAGTGGCCGCCATTGCCCTCTTTGAGGAATGGATGTCAAGTCACACGCTCAAATTCAAAGGCTTACTGGAACACCCTTTGCAAGTGAAAGGGTCTTTGAAGGCACAGTAGAACGATCCAATGGTTTTGTAACTACAAACGTTAGCACTGAAGAAGGAGAACACCTAGTGCGACTTGATGGGAAATGGTGCAGTGCAATCCGAATATATGTCTGAGGACAAAAATGGCATTATTATGGTGTACGAATTCGATTATTACGAGTCTCATATTTTTGTTGTTGATTTTATATTTTTATTATGTTACCAGATTGGTCCCCGGCAACTACCGGACCCTCTTTTCCCTGAAGCATGGGTTCCTCCTTCTCATCTTGTCATTCCCTCCCCTACCTCTCTC